TTTACTTCGTTTTTAATGGATATTGAATTTTAATATTTACTTTGCTTCGAAAATTTACGGATATCCGGAATTTTCAAATCAAAATAGTCGATTCAAACTTTATGGATAAAATGTCCAACCCTAGAGAAACTGTTAAGAAGATTTCAAACACCCAAAAACTGATAAAACATAATTGTTTCATTAATTTTTTGTAAGGAAACAAATCATAATTGCGTAGACTAGGAAATAAACTAAAACTACATAACCAAATGCATCACATTGTTAATATACAGCCGTCAAGGCAACCAAAACAAATACGTCATAAATGTTTCAAATAAACTAAATAGTCTTAAGAAAATGCATTTGTCAATAACACAAATAGTAAATAGTTAGTGATATAACAAGCGTTAGAGCACCTCCAATGGAGATTCTTCCCATTTAAAATGTTAAATTATGTATTATATATATGTATATATTATATATGTATATATATTTGTGGAATCCTATAGAAGAATTCTGTTTGGAGGTGGTTTTAGGATCACAAACGAAAGGTCCAAAAAATTGAATCAATTAGTAGTTATGTATCTCTTTGTTTTCTAACTTTTAAGGATATACAAAACTAACTTATGCAATTCACTATGATTCATTTAAATGTTAGATTTTCTTTGACTATGTCGAAGTGAAATAAAATAATAAGAATACATATATATATATATATATATATATATATATATATTACATTTTCTGAATTATTTTTGCTAATTTATATTCTCCGAAAACAGAGAATAACGAAGGTTACTGTTCTTTTAATTCAAACTAAAAATGTTTAGTACAATCTTAGACTATTTATTATTTGTTTGTTCAATTTATAATGATTTAATGCTTCATAAATTAAATAAATAAATATATAATAGTTTTTACTATTACTTTCGCCCGTAGGACGGACCAAAACCCCTAAATGAGTGCACGCTTATCAAGGATTGAATGGTTCTGTCCAGTTTAAGTTTCTATTTTTTCTTAGTTTAGTTTCGTTTCAGTTTGCATCTTTTAGAGTTTTTTCCCTTTCCAAACATTTTATCTATATAATTTCATCATTTATGAATGGTAATTGCTTATTGTTATGATTTTCAAACCACCCTTGCGTCTCTGATATGTGTTAATTACTCCTCTTTAAATATTTAGGAACTGGTATCATATAATCTTTACTGCACCTATGAATTGTTAATATTTGTTAGTTTTTTAACTATTACATATATTACATTGTTCATTACTGATATCATATAATTCCGTTAGACCCAACCAAAATTCAACTCCTTAAAACTGTTTTCCTCAAAAAAAAATAATACTATTATTGGAATGATTATTTATTTTCAACTTTATAAAGGAGGAGTTTAAATGCATATATATACTATTAATGCATCACACCTTCTCTAATTGGTTAGAAAAAAATAAACTCTAACTATTTCATAGAAAATTATACAACTTATGCGTACAAGCTTATATATATTTTTTGATATTGAATTTCAATAGTTTGGAAATTGTATTCCCCAAAACCATCACATAAAATAAAATTAAAATCCAAATAATTGAAATAAAGTAGTTACCTATATATAAAAGCTACATACAAAAAGAAAAACTATAAAATAAGATAAAAAATTGAAGTTTATGGAAAATAACCCGGACGTAGCCCGGAAAAATCTCTAGTATAAATAAAAAATCTAACTAAACTTAATGTTATTACTTATTATATTCGCATTAGTATATATATACCTACCGTTATGTATGGTCCTACAAACTATAAAATTAAAGAGATCCACTTGTTTCAATGTTCAATTAGTCCAACTAAAGGCATATTTGTCTCAAATACACCTTGGAAATCGAGAATGAGTCTCTTCAATAACAAATCTTATATATTAAGACAAAAATCATGATTTTGATTCATGTGTGATTTTTTTAAAAAAGATCATCACTAGAAACTTTTACAATATGTATTTCAATAAGAATAATAATATATATAATCTTTAAAATACTTTAAACATAATATTTTTATTTCTATCTTTTCATTTTAATTAATATAATATATTTATTTAAATTCTAACAATTTAAAATATTTTTATAATATTTTCATTTAATATTATCTTTAAATATTTTCACTAATTTTTGAAATAGTATTATATAATAAAATCTTACCATCATATTAAATTTTATTTTTGAACATAAATATTTTGTACTTAAGAAAATAAAATAGAAAATTTATCAATTTAATACAGTTTTATCATATTTAGTTTGATATAATAATTTTATTTTAATATTATTGATATGATTTTATAATAGATAATATGATAGATAATATGATATAATTTTTTATTAACGCTAACTATATAATACATGTAGATAAATTAACATGTATTTCATTAATGCTAATAGTATAAAATCTTTATAACTACTTTAATCATGATGACATTTCATTTTAAACATAAATATATATTTATATATTAAATTTTAAAAATTCTAATAAATATGTGTAAAAATATTTTACACTAAGTTAACGTATTTTATGTTATAGTTATAAAATGAAAAATTTAAATTATATCCTATTTGATTTACTTCATAATCATAATCATCATATTAAAAACAATTATTATATTAAACTAAATAGGACAAAATTATATTAAATTTCTAAAATTTATTTTCATAAATATAAAATATTTATTTTTAAAATAAAATATGACGACAGAACAGATTAAAATTAGCAAACTATATAATACATGTCTAAAATTAACATATCTTAGATTTTTGTATATACAATAATATATTATCTAAAATGAATAAACATAAAATATTGGTAAAAGAAAATCCAGCTTTGAAGGTCGAGCCATAATTTACCATAAATTAAATATAAAATAATTTTCAAATATATTTTCTCTTGAATATATTTATTTGCTTAATAACTAAATGCAAATACAATAAGATAAATATATAATAAGAATTCACAAATACATATGGTTTTTAACAATTGATTTATATAACAAGTAAATTAAAAATTACTGTATTTAAAATAGTTATATAAACATTTAAGTATATGATTAACATTAAAAATATATACCACATATGTTCTAAAACAAATATTTATTTATTTAAAAATGAAATTAAACACCTGCGTGGTTGCACGGGTTATAATCTAGTTTTATTTATTAAAACATAAGTCATATCTATTTTCATGTGTGATATTTCATTTTGGAACATCTCTTAGAAAATCATCACATTTAATTATCCTATCATTTAGTTTTTACAATATAATCACAAATATTTCTTGTTAATATCTTAATAAACTATTTTTAAGGAGAATCTCAAATTTCTTTACTATGCTAAAATACAATTAAATATACAAACTTGTTTAGAAAAAAATATTTAAACTTATTAATCTAATAATTATTAACGGCATATATAATTATTTTATAGGTCATTAACTCTTTTGTAGGTACGTCATTAACAAAAAAAAAATCAAATGTTATGTAATCATAATATATGATTATATATACATATGATCGTGTATATTATTTTTAGTATTATGTTATGCAATCATAACCGTTGATTAAAGTTATTGGTTTGATGATGTCAAAAAAGTATCACAATATGTGATAGTTCTTTAATATTATTAACATTTTTATTAAATTAATACTATTATAAAACATATAATAGAATTCATTTATAATCATAGAACTCAATTAAATATATTTAATAATATAGATTTAATCTCATTTTCTAGGATGTTGTTTGAACGTTAAATCTAAACTGGAAAATAATTTGACATAGAAATAAATTCTAATCTATATAATAGAGAAAAATACAAAAAAAATTCTGCTAAACAAATGTATTTATAAATATAGACGTACTAATATATATAATCAACTAAATTACACTATTTTCATTTTTCTTACTTTGAAATTTGATTTGTTCCAACAAATTAAACAAAAATAATAATTTTCTATTTTATCTAACCAAAAACATCATTAACTATTCACCTAATCATAATTCAACAAATAAAAACTGGGAGAATAGAAAAGTTATATAAATAGAAAAAATGAATAAACTTGCATTGAAAATTGAAAATGTCATCTAATTTGAAGTGAAAATAATTCTCTAGAACGTCATATATTAAAACAAAGTGAATATATTCTACAAACAAAAACACTATAAAAATTTTATATTTGTATAGAATTATCAAATTACAAATTACTTATCTAAGATATTAATTTGATTGTTTCAACATACAAAATCGAAATACGCAACCGACATAATTTACCACATCCTTAATTCAATTTAAAAAAACATATGTGCGTCAAAATTTAATGTGTATTAAAGTTGTAAAGAATTAAGAATGTGTCCTAATAGGTAACGTATTCTCACCCATTCTGTTAGTAATTGTTACGTAGCGTTGTTTCATCCGGCTTACATGGAAATATAAATAGTTCCAGGTTCAGTTTTAATCTTATTAGGCTTCGACAGGTAATCTTACTAGGAACAAAAGGAATGATTCAGAAAGGAATGTATAGGAACAAAATTGCAAGAATAAAAAGAAATCGTTATTCCTTTTCAAAATGCTCAAAGAATAATTTTGTTTTTTATTCCTCTATAAAAAAAAGAAATGATAAAGAAATAGAAGGAAAAAAACATTCTTTGTGAATTGTGATTTTTTTTTTTTTAGAAATGATAAGGAATTGAATGTTACTCATCATTCCTTGGTCACCATTCAAAGCATTAATCTATTTGCAAAAAGGCTCAAAACATTCCTGCAGCACATGGAATGTATTTAGTCATGAGAGAAGGTCAGGTCTGGACATGGCATGAAGCAATATAAATATCATGATCGTAATTTCAGGTATTCATGATTAATCAAATAGAAACAAACTCTGCTTACAAAAAGAGCATCACAAAGCACATTACAAACAAACAGGTCTACAGTTTTTACAATGTGCTCTCGCAAACCTAGACACTATAAAACAACTCATTTACCCTTCATGAGATGTGATTTTGCCTTCTAGAATGCGAGAGAATATTGGCTAAACAAATAACCAAAAAATATATATTTTAAAAAATCATAAATCATCAGCTCATTGAGCTATAAGCTGACCCTTCTTCATCATTTGTCTAAACTCCTTGTAATTAACCCTACCATCACCATCAACATCCACTTGCACTATCATCTTCCTACATTCCTCCAAGGTCTTACCTTGCTTGAGTCCCAAGGAAGACAACACCGTTTTCAACTCATCCACCGTAATAAACCCATCTCCATTCTGATCAAAAACATTGAAGGCTTCCTTCATATCTTCATCTCCGATCTCATCCTCGTCTTGGACCATTATCGACTTGTTAAGCTCTCCAAACTCTTCAACGTCAACACAGCCATCACCGTTCACATCGATCTTCTCGATCATCTGCGATAACTCGTTTTCTGGGATTATGATGCCGAGGTTTTTGAATGATTCGCTTAGCTCCTTCTGTGTGATCCGACCGTCTCCATCCTTGTCAAACATTTGGAACACACGTTTTAGCTCTGTGGAATCCATTATTAGGGTTAAGAGGTTGCGTGTGGATGAAGAAAACGTGAAACAGGGGATGATGAGACTCCGAGAAGCCGAGAAGGAAGTCCTTTCCTGGCTCCTTGGAGACCCGATGAGGGTAGTTTCAGAAACTGAAGAGAAGGTTAAAGAAATGTGATTGAAAATCTTAGCCAAAAAGTCGAGATAATAACTTGTAAATACTGATAAAAATAGGAGAGATAGAAAGAGAGATCTTCTTAGGGTTGAGTTATTTGTTGGTGGGGAGGAAATGTTGTATTGAAGTCTTATAAAAGTTGAGCGGTTCTGTAAACTTTAACCCAAAGAAACAAACTTTATTTTTAGTTAGATACAAGACTAATTTACATTGTTACGAATTAAGTAAAAAAAGATCCTGAGACATCAATTCAAACCAAAGCTGTATTTTACATTATCATATTTATAAATTGATTAACTAACTAATTATCAGGCGGTTAAAGACCAAATCCGTTGGAGTGGTGAACCACACTTTGTTGTGCTGTCCCGACTATGTGAAGCCTTTGAATTCACTTTAGTATAAGAACATTAAAGATATGTCAACAACAAAATATAATAATCATTTCTCCACTCTTTTCTTTTATAATGATATTTGTTTTTTTTTTTTTTAACATCATAATGATATTTGTTCAAAATTCTCATTTTGATACGTTTGTGTTCTGTTGAAAAGATATACCAATCATGTAGCGTGATTAAAAAAAACTGAGCTTAAAACCCGATGGGTCAAAAAAAACTAAAAAAGGTGCCCACACGCAGGATCGAACTACGGACCTTCAGTTTACAAGACTGACGCTCTACCACTGAGCTATACGGGCTTTCTGATTACATGGTACGTAATGTTAAATTTATATAGAATTAAGACTAGTTCTATTGATACTTGTGATTTGACTGTTTTGCATGGACACATTGTGAACAAACCAAATTTAGTTAGACCAAAATACTTTTTAAAGAAAAACTAAATTGTGAAATTAAACAAAAACGTAGGAAGTGAATGAACATAGAATTCATATAAAGAGGCAAGAATTCAGAGTAACTGCCATGAAATGTATAACCAAATAAGAACACCAAGGGGCATCACCAGTCTTGAAGTCAGTTTCAACCCATGGAACAAGCACAACCTTTCCACCATCATCGATATCACCATGTGCCACGGCAAGCGACTTTTCCACCCAATCAGGTTTAGTTTAGAGAGATTAATAATGTATTTGACTTACCAATGGTGCTGGACCTCTAACGACTCTGCCTTGAGCATTGTATTGAGATCCATGGCAAGAACGTAGAAACTTGTTCTCAGCTTTGTTCCATGGCACAACACATCCAAGATGAGTACACACTTCGTTTATACCGTATGTAGCTAGTGTCTAGTCGTTCTCTACAAAGAGGTAAGTTGGATCTCCCTATAACATTAATAACAAACATCATTGAGATCTTAAAGTACGGTTTCAAGGGCTTAATAAGTTCCATCTTACCTTCAGTCCTAGATATTAACCGTAAATATCGCCGAAGATAGTCAGTGGCGGTCCGATCTATTTATATGCCCTACGCAAAAATTTAAACTATCTGGAGGGAAAGGAACAGAAGAAAGCATGGTGAAGATCCATGTCCAGCCACTCTCTTGATCAGAAGAATAGATAAAAACATGAGGAAGAAATTTACCATCATTCAAAAGGGGCGTGAAAAATTTTATGAAGGCGGAGGTGGCTGTTTGGTTTGGCACCAGACAGAGCTAGACGGAAGCACAATCTTTGGAGGGTATTAAGAACAGAGAAATTTGATATTTTCATTATGCAGTTTTGATTTGAAAAGGGAGTACTCTTGATGTAAAAACCGTCTTTTTCTTTTTGAGTTAAATTTAACATTCAAGTCAAAATAAATAAATTATGCCTCTTTCTTGTATTTTATTAATCTAATTAGGTGTTGTGCCCGCATATGCGAACATAATTTTCTTACGAATATTTATTATTATTTGTTTTATTAATTCTAAAATAATATTATAAGTTATTTTTTATAGTTTTAAAAAACTTAAATCAAACATAAAATATTTTTATATGAACTTTCATCAAAATCTATATGTTTATTATAATGTTGAAAACATCCACATAATAAAATAATTTTGAGAATATATTTATATTTTTTTCTTAATATTTAATTTTAAATTGTTTTATAACTTACATTTTTATTTTTCATAATAAAAAATATTATTTCTAGATAATTGTATAATATTCTCTAAAGATCTTATGTTTTAAATATGCATGAATGTGGATAATTATCCTATTAGTTTATAATAAATTAACTATAATAATAACATATAAATTTCTATCACTACCATAAAATTTTGTTTTAACTAATTTATATATAAATATATAAATTTCATTAAAGGTATCATTAACTTGAACCATTCCAATTTTTTATATCTAATATTTAATTATAATTAAAAGTTTCTTTATACAAATGTTTTTGTTTGATTAATATTTAATTAAAATCCATTTTATATTTTCTATTTTAATTTTTATATTTTATATTATTTTCCAAAACTCAAAATCAATTATATATAAAATTAAGATATATAAGCATTATCATGTTGTTACAATATTATACTCAGATAATAATAACATATATAAGAATTATCTTATTTTGATTTTTTTTATAAACTTATTATATTAATTATTCTCAGTTATCTATAATAATAACATACTAATCTAATTTTATTTTTAAATTTCAATTATAAAATTAGTTATATATAAAAATTCCATTAAGTGTAAAATAGATATTAATCGCCAAATTTTTAATGTGAGAGCTCCATTGCGAAAAATCACTTCGTAAATAATAGTATAGATTAGTGTAAATTTATTTCAATTATAGAATAACTACAACTTATTATAGCTTAATTTTAAATTTCTAATAGAAAAATACATTTTCAAGACAGCAACTTAATACATAAGAACTATCTTATTTTCTAAGAATCTGATACTATTAATATTAATTTGTTTTAAATATATAATAAATTATATATAAAATTATATAAATTGATAAATTATCAAAATTACCTAAAATCATGAAAAATATGACAAATCCGCAAACATAGAATTCACTTCTTAAATAGTATTATAGATTTTTTACATTTTAATTTTAAATTTTATAATAGAAAAATATTTTTCCAAGATAACAACATAATACATAAGAATTAACTTATTTTATAAAATATCATATTATTAATATAAATTTATTTTAATTATATAATCAATAATAAACAAAATTATATAAATTCTGATAAATGATCAAAATTACCTAGGACCACTGAGACAAATCAACAAATTCACTTTTCAAATAATTGTTTAATGTTTAATATTTAATTATGATTTATGTTTAATTATTGATAATATAATTTTTATATTTTAATTTTAAGTTTTATAATAGGAAAATATATTTTCAACATAACAACATAATCCATAATGATTATCTTATTTTATAAAATATTAAATTATTAATATAAATCTGTTTTAGATAAATATAACAGCGTTTATATCTTAATTTAAAATTTAAGTTTTATATATAAAATATATTTCAAGATAACAACATAATTCATAAGAATTGTCTTATTTTTTAAAATATGCTATATTCATATAAATTGGTTTTATTTATAAATAATATATATATATATATAAATATCAAAAATATGATAAATAAACAAAATCACCTAAAATTATTAATATAAATTTGTTTTAGATAAATATAACAGCGTTTATATCTTAATTTAAAATTTATGTTTTATATATAAATATAACAGTGTTTATATCTTAATTTAAAATTTAAGTTTTATATATAAAATATATTTCAAGATAACAACATAATTCATAAGAATTGTCTTATTTTTTAAAAATATGCTATATTCATATAAATTAGTTTTATTTATAAATAATATATATATAAATATCAAAAATATGATAAATAAACAAAATCACCTAAATTTATTAATATAAATTTGTTTTAGATAAATATAACAGCGTTTATATCTTAATTTAAAATTTATGTTTTATATATAAATATATTTCAAGATAACAACATAATTCATAAGAATTGTCTTATTTTCTAAAAATATGTTATATTCATATAAATTCGTTTTATTTATAAATAATATATATATATATATATATATATATATATAAATATCAAAAATATGATAAATAAACAAAATTACCTAAACTTATGGAGAATACGACAACTAAGCAAATTTACTTCTTAAATAATAGTATAGATTAAAATTTAAGTTTTATATATAAAATATATTTCAAGATAACAACATAATTCATAAGAATTGTCTTATTTTTTTAAAATATGCTATATTCATATAAATTGGTTTTATTTATAAATAATATATATAAATATCAAAAATATGATAAATAAACAAAATCACCTAAATTTATTAATATAAATTTGTTTTAGATAAATATAACAGCGTTTATATCTTAATTTAAAATTTATGTTTTATATATAAATATATTTCAAGATAACAACATAATTCATAAGAATTGTCTTATTTTCTAAAAATATGCTATATTCATATAAATTCGTTTTATTTATAAATAATATATATATATATATAAATATCAAAAATATGATAAATAAACAAAATTACCTAAACTTATGGAGAATACGACAACTAAGCAAATTTACTTCTTAAATAATAGTATAGATATGATAAATAAAAAAAATTACCTAAACAAATATCAAAAATATGATAAATAAACAAAATTACCTAAACTTATGGAGAATACGACAACTAAGCAAATTTACTTCTTAAATAATAGTATAGATTTCATATTAATATAAAAGTAGAGATTTGCAAAATTAGATTTATCAACTTAACTAAATAAAAAATAATAGATTTTATTTTGTATATAGGACTGTAGTTAATTCTATATAGCTATATATTACAAAAACTTGCCACTATTTTTATTTTATTCTTACATAAATATTAAAAATAAAAATAATTAATATTAAAATAATAATGATGAATATACAATAATAATGATAAAAATATCTATAACATTATTTAAGAAGTAAATTGGCTTAGTTGTCAACTTCTCCATGATTTTAGGTAAATTTGCTTATTTTCATGTTTTAATAATTTATTATATAATAAAAACGAAATTATGTTAATAATATTATATTTTTAGAAAATATGTTAATTCTTTTGTATTAGATTGTTATATTAAAAATATATTTTTCAATTATTATTAGAAGTAAAAATTTGCTTAGTTGTCAACTTATCCATGATTTTAGGTTATTTTGGTTATTTTCATGTTCTATAACATTATTTAAGAAGTAAATTTGCTTAGTTGTCAACTTCTCCATGATTTTAGATAAATTTGCTTATTTTCATGTTTTAATAATTTACTAAGATAGCGCGGGATGAAATTTTTATTTTCATTATGTTTTGGATAATGAAAGAATAGTTTGGTTTCATTTGGATTGGGGTGTTCAATCCGGATATCGATTTAGTTTTGGTTCGGTTCTGTTTTTTTTTTTTGGTATTTTGGTTAGTGTGTTTCAAATAAAAAGATATTTCGGTTAGTAAAATATAACTACTATTCTAAATCCAATTTATTTCGGTTCGGTTCAGTTTATATAACGTCGGTTTTTGTTTTATTCGATTTTTATAACAAAAAGCATAAATATGTAGTTTGAGATATCAATTGATCACAAAAATTTCAAAGTGGAATTTAAATTTTTAATAATTTATAGCCGTGTTCAGAAATTCAAAATATAACATATAAGAAAAAATCTTTCCTATTATATGGTTAATGTGATTGCTTAATATTTTTTTAATAATATAAAATTAAACAAAAAAGAGCTAAGATACAAAAATTGTTATCAAATATTTATTATTCATAATCATTTATTGTCAAAAATACGTTAATCATATAAGGTAAATTCATAGCTGTTATTTAAAGAAAGTGCGAGAACTTTTTTTGTACACTATTTATCAATTTAATAGTTAGTTTAATAAAAAAATATAATATAAATTAAGATGAACCAACCTAATTTTCTAAATTAATATATAAGAGATGTTACCATTGACCATTAATTTTTAACATAACAATTTTAACAGTTTTAGTAATTTATTGTCGTTTTTTTAAATTCAAACTAAAACATATATGAAAATATAAATTTTAGTTTTTAGCTAATTGAATTGTTTACTTTATTTCAAAAATATAAAATTAGATAAAATAATGGAGGAGATATAGATTGTTATCAAATCTTTATTATTAGAATCATTAATTATCATTTATGTATTAGCCATATATATTTGGTAATTCTGTCGTTTTTATTTAAAGAAAGAAAATTAAATAATTAATATCATATGATATAGCACCTTACTTTATAGTATTAAATGTTTCTAGTGAGATATAAAAATTGAATTGAACCAACTTGTTTTTTAATTTGAATGTGGAGGTGATACG